CTCATATATTGAATTTCAGTAGTTGGTTGCATAAAGAAGTAAAGTGTAATGAAACTGGCAAGCAAAGTATTCCCTAGTCAGCCTTATCTTTGTTCCATTTGTCCTTCAGATCCAGCTTTTCTTGCCTTTTTCAATAAAATCCATCCATCCAGCTTTTTTCTATATATATATATATTTTTATTTTTTTTTTTTTCACGTCTCTCTGTAACCGAGCCGGGAAGACCAATGAGATTCGGTGCTTTTCTAGTTGGGTTCTGAGCAGCTGCTTTTTAAGAGATCAAAACTTCGAGCGCTGCTACATGGTATTAAGGCTTAGCTATTGATGTGTCCCTATAGGGGTGATGTTTTTCTTGGGGAGGGGGGGTGGAGAAGAGGAAGGGGTGACCCCTGCCAGCGCGCTCGCCGACACTCAACACTGCTCTCCTTGTTTTCCAGGATCCTCTTCGCCAGTTCGGTGCTTAACCTGGCTGAACTCGCCGCCCTCCGCCCTGACCTCGGCAAATTGAAAAAGGTCCTCTACTTCCATGAGAATCAATTGGCATATCCTGTCCAGAAATGCCAGGAAAGGGATTTTCAATACGGATACAACCAGATTCTCTCATGGTAGGTGTTTCTCGCACCGCTTTGTGTCGTTTACGGTGTCCTTCTGCCTACCACTGTGCAGCATCGTAAGCCCGAGGAGTCCTTCTCCGTATAAACGATGACCCTGTTGAAAACCGAGGCACCATCAGAGCCCCAAACAGAGGTTGATAAAAGTGCTGTGGCAGAAACAATCTGCTCTACAAACTCATCTTAATTTCTTGCATCAAGTCCTCCGATGCGTTGTTGGGCTGCCGTGGCGTACCCGTTCCTGGTGGGGATTTTGACCTGTGTCTTGGCCGTAAGCGAGATGCTTTGTTTCACAGACGCTTCGCAAAGCTGCGGCTAATCAGCTCGTGCTTGGCCATAGCTTTTACTGCATCCGACTGAAATTATATAGAGGGTTTTAGGGAAATAAACAGAAATTAAAATGTACTGCAGCACTTTTCTTCTGAAGAGAGGGCAGTAAACATACCAGATAAATCCTTGTATTTCTTTCATCTAGTATTCAGAAATTGTGCAGTGCTAAAATACCCAGACGTTTTAAAGGCTGCGGTCCTTTATTGTTGCTAAAAACAAATGTATTTCTCGAATCTGAGTTAATGAAAGAAGTTAATAACAGCAACACTGAAAAGCTTTGTGGTTAGGCACTGTATGAGCTGAAGTGAAACAGCAAAACTCGGTTGGTTTTGAACTGAAATAAATTCATTTCCATGATGTTTCTCACCTATCTGTTAGCAGGACAATTGTTAGGAATAGGGATTGAGCATTTTAAGGTACAAGTTAAGCTTTTGCCTCTATAATATAAGCCAATTGACATTGAAATTTATCACATAATGATGCGTTTACTCTCTGGCCATTCTGTAGCTGCCTCTGCCCCAACATGTTCCACTTACTGAGCAGTAAAGATGGGAGAGTATAGTGAAAGATCTTTAGAAAACAGTGGCAGTCGTTTTCAGATTTTATATCAAAAAGATGCGGGTTTTGGCACTGGGGCAAGGAATATATATATATTTTTTTAAATATATATATATTTTGCTTTCTCATAGCAGTTATTTTGCACACATCTATTGTAAGCTGACATGCATCTATCCTCAAAATGTGCATTTTGCCCAGAGAAGCTGTGGCTGCCCCATCCCTGGAGGTGTTCAAGGCCAGGCTGGATGGGGCCTTGGGCAACCTGGGCTGGTGGGAGGTGTCCCTGCCCAGGGCAGGGGGGTTGGAACGAGGTGATCTTTAAGGTCCCTTCCAAGCTAAACCATCCTCTGATGCTATGATTTTTAATATCATAAAAGTGTCTTCTTTTGCCTTAAAAACAAAAAGACTTCTACAGATGCTCCATTCTGTCTCCCTCAGCCTCCAATAGCTTCTCCATGTAATGACGTAATATTCATCTTCCCTTTTTGTTGCCGCAGAAACCCCATTTTTAACAGCAGATAGAAACCATCTCCTCTGTGCTGTTTGTAACTTCCTAGTGGTCATCGGCAGAGAAGTGGCATCTTCCAAATTTGTTGGAAAAGCTAGAAACGTGCAAATGTATCGTTCCAGTTTTGTGTAGAGATTTTGGAGATGATTAAAATTAGAGGGCTTTGAATCTTCAGCTTTGGAAAATTAAGAGAGATATTTTTTTTTTTTTCCCCTCCTTGATGTTTCTATAGACTTAATGTAATAAAATCACACTTTTCAGTGATGCCCGAGACTCCTTTCAGCTGCCCAGGCAGTGACGGTGATGGGAGCTTTGTAATTTGTCAGTGATACGCAGAACCGTTAGGAAAATTCGGTCAGATGAGACTTCATGCACAAGGGAAGTGGCGATGATGGTGGCGGAGCCTTTGCTACGAATCAGAGAGCAGCAAAGCAGCGTGCCGCGCTCCCGCCTCGTCCCGTGTCGTCTGTACATCAGTGCAGACAAGGTGACCGGATGGTTTGTACAAAAACGAGGAGACCAACCGGTTAAAAGCCATAGGTGGGGAAGAAGGTGGGATTCTAGAAAGCATTTTGGATCCCGCAGCCTGCTTGAAAAGGATTGTTTCTCTCTAATGTTTTTTTTTTTTTTTATGGCTGTTTTTTGGCTTTCCCCGCTGACTCCTGCCGCTTTGGGGAGCGGTGTCACTTCTCTTTCTTGACCAGCCAGCGGTGAGATGCAGCGAGGATGAATGACAGCCTCTCACCTCAAATATACTTCTCACCAGCCTGGTGACTTATGAACGCCTGTCCCCAATGTATCTTACGACCTGTAGGTCTGTATTACAATATATAACATATTGAGAAAACCACCCGGCCATAAAGCATTCCTTCCCTCCGTTAGCGTTGTGCGTTTGCCGGTGTAGCTAAGATTGTGTCAGCACTTCCAGGATAAACTTCCAGTTATTTCAGGTTTGTTTTTTTTTTTTTTTTTAATAGCTTCTCGTTTCCTCCAGGCTGACTCTAAGCGGAGGAAAAATACCTACGTTATCGTCTAACCACATCCTAAAATTATCGATCCGTGTGATTGAAAACACAGCACTAGGGAACAAAACATGCCATTAATATGCCAAAAAATTTTCAAACTTATTTTTGGTACCATGTGCTATGTTTTGTGTGTGTGTATATACATATATATATTTATATATACCTCTCTCTCTCTCTCTAAGTGAATATACTTTTAATCAGGATTATGTATGCACAGATGACAATAACATCCTATTTCTCTAGCGTCTTGCTACCTGCCATGCTTGGTTGGTGGAAGGTAGGTTAACCAAAGGTAAGTTGTCCTTCAGCACGTAGGATAATTTCTAAAGAATTTTAATTTTCTTCCAAGTTTACTTCTACAAAAGCCGTATTACAGTGGGCCTAGCTGTTTAGAATGCTTTTAAGAGATAATGGCGGTAATATGACTCTTACTATTTTATGAATAAAAAGTGCTCCACAGATAGGATATGATGTGCTTCTTTAAATTAATAATAATAATTTATTACTTAGTTAAAAAAAAATAATCAGAGTGACTAGAAAGAAATCAAAACATTTCTAATTAAGGTACATATGCGACTCCTAATTCACGTGAAAAAGCTGATTTTAATTAGCATTCTGCTTGCACCTTTTGTTTGTTTATGAGACTACGTATCCTTTTTCCATTGCATTTAAAATAATTCTGTTCCCTTTGCAGCAGCGGTGCATTCATTAATCTTACCCACTTTTTACAGTTTGGTTGCTGATGTTGTGGTGTTCAACTCTGCTTTTAATATGGAATCGTTTCTTACATCCATTGGAAAATTTATGAAGCTGATTCCTGACCACAGACCGAAGGATTTGGAAAAAATTATCAGACCGAAGTGCCAAGTTCTTTATTTTCCAGTCAGGTTTCCTGATGTGAGCAGGTCAGTACATTTTCCACGTCATAAATTGCCTCCGGCCTGTCAAAACTCTCTATTTATGGTGACGTTCTAACTAATCAGCTAAAGCATCGTTAATGAAAGAGTTTGATAATATGCAAAAATCCCCTAATTGATAAATGTATTTCCATAATCAGAGGCTATTCAGGCGGCGTCTGATCTGCCGAGCCTGTCCTTACCGCCTGCTCTACAAACTTGCGTCGTTCGGCATGAGTGATTTCCCACTTGTTTTAGTCTTCGAGGACTTGCCTGCTCCTCCGCTCTGTATATATTTGTACAGGGGAGGTCAAGGAGGAGAGAGAAACGCCGGAGAACGGTAAAAGTGATAAGCCTGGAGTCGAGAAGCTGTGTTTCCCTCGGTGTGTTGCGGGGGGATTTTATTCCCTCCTCCCTCCCCTACCTCTTCTTTGATTGCTTTCCAGGTAGGCGAAAAGCGTCCCAGTCGCGGGGAGCGGACTCGCAGAATGTCGGCGTGGGCCACGGCGGTAGTTGCTCTTCAGTCTTCCTCGGTTGCTCTGAAGGACGTTTTTTATTACCCTCCTTTCAGAGCCCGTCTTGAAACTAGCGGCGGGTTATGTGGCTCAAAGGGAACATTGGCTCCATCCTTTTCGCTTTTGATTAAACCTGGCACAATTGTTTTTCCTGTTATAAGGGACTCTCCTCCCACCGAACAGGAACTTTGCTTCAATGGGACCGGTACTAAATAGAGTGTGATTCTGCAATTTGATTATACTCTTAAAATCAACACGATGCTGGGTATGGCTGTTGTATTATTTTTTTTTTGGCTGAAATAAGGCTGGAAGGCACCGTAATGACTCTGCAAGAGTCCGGCTTTCGATCTGATAGTAAGTTCTGGCCACACTTGAGATCGTTGTCCCTGCCCAACTTGTACGTCCGGTTATTTCCAAGACTAAATACAAATTTGTGGTAGTTTGGGGCAGAGGGTTTTTCAGTTACAAGGAGCTGAGGTCATGACCTCTGTTGATGTTCCCACTGGCAGGTTTGCATTTCGCTATCTTGGAAAACTTTATATTCTAAAGCAGTGATGCAGATGGGTTAGAAATCCATGTCGAAAGTTAAGTATTTAAACCTATGTTTTTTGGCGAGCGGGTTAAAAATCCTCCGATGTCCCTTAGGGATGTGGCTGCCTGGATGGCAGTGGAGATGAGAACCTATATATATATATCTTTGAGGATCTACTATTGCCTCGTGGAGACCGTGTGTTTCAAGAGTGAGGGAATGCTGGGGAATGCTTAGCATATTTGATACTGAGCCATGTTAAAAGGATCTCGTGGTTTTCGGCATACCTTAGGAAATCATGTGGCCCAAGCCTAGTTTTGGAGATGAAGCTGTGATAACCCTGTCCCATGGATTAAATCAGTTCTGCTGGGACTCGTCAGCCCCAGCAGATGGGGTCAAACGAGACCTGACAAATTAAGCTGAAGTCATACGCCCTGTGACGGTTTGTCTGAAGCTGGAGGTGATTAAGTGGGTAAAATCAGTAGTCTGCTCCCCAAACTGGTCAAGTGGGAAGATGTCACGTGTTGCCGTGTGCTCTCCCTAATGTCCCGCTCTTAAAGTCTCGTCTCACAAAGCGGCACACTTTTCCCGTTCTCATCGTGGTCGCTGCACTTGAAATTATATTGAACAGCTATTTTCAGCGGGGATGGACAAAATTAAGACGTTCATCGAGAACTGTGTGACTGCACAACTTTCTCAGCAGAGTAATTAGAAACACAGATTAATATCAGCTGCAGTATTTCTAATATGTATTTTATTCACCAACTAACTCCAGATGTAAGATCTGGGTTTCTTTTAGACAAAGCCCAATATCATCACAGGGAAAAACAGCAGAAGAAAGGGCTGCTTCTGCGTAACTCCAAAGTTCTTTAGGTTTCGACCTTCAGCTGCAGCCAGTATTTACTATTTCTTTACAAGATCGAGTTTTAAATAATTTTGAGTGCACCTGTGGCAATTCAATGCCATTTTTTTTTTTTTTTCATTTTTGACCGTATTACTGTAGTGCCTGAATGGAGATTGAGGACAAAAAGGTTAAGAAAAATTGTGGCCAAGCTGAAATTTATAAAGCACGCTCTTAGCCCAGAGTGTTTTTCAAGTTATTTTCAAATGGTAATTTGCTTTATCCAAACCAAACTCATACAGTGTAAGTAAGTGATTATTTGCATGACTGACAATCATTTCAGTGCCTGCAGTCTTTTTAAAATGCATAATTTTGCTGAGATGTTGGGAAAATATTTAAAAATTCTGAAGGCAAAATAACCAGGGTGGGTTTGTTGTTTTTTTTTTTTTTCTCCTTACTTTGACCTCTTTTATTTTGCGTGTGGACATCTCAGGGTGTGTTTGTGTCTTAGACATAATCTTCGTTTGGACTCGGGAGAGGGCTGATCTAAGAAATCATCCTCGTGCATGCAATGGAGATCTTTTTAAGATTATTTTAGATTAATATTGCAGTTGTAGGGCAAAATAAAATATACCTGACCCTTGACCAAAATCAGTGTAATAAAGGAGCATGTCACATAAGTTTATGCTGTACGGATCTACCTTTTCATGTAATTACTGTAGGTGATGGGTACACGAGCTAGCACTAACAGCATAGTAAACGATCACTTAAGAGTGAAGGTATAATGATGAAGGATACCCTAGAAAATACTTCTGAATACTCTTAGAGGTACCATTATACATAGGTGTAGTTTGTACTTACATATTTCACATGGGTATCTAATCACTGCTTTTCTACTTTTGAGAGATTATCGATGTTTTTTTTTTTATAAAGATTCTTCTTTTTTAATAAGCATTTGTCATAAGGGCACGTATTGGCGTTCCCAGAGCAAACGACCCGCCTGTGGTCCTTATCTGACAATGAGAAGAGATGAAAGGATTTGAGGATTTAGCAGAATAAGAAATTTACTGACCTAATCCTCCCGTTTTCTGGTTCTGACAATGACTGGCTTCCATATTGCGTCCCGTGGTGCCACAGCTACTCCTTATATACTCATCCGCTATCATTTCTGACTTGGAATTCTCCTTTTTATACATTCTGGTGAAGTATATTATGTAGAAATACACGTCGGAGTCCATCTAAGCTTGGAGACAAATAAAACTCCGCGTTTAGGCTGTCACTTCGTAGCGTATGGGTATTGCAAAGGATGTAGACCAGTAGCTGATCTTACGTGCCATATGTGCTGTATATTAAGCTGGCTTTTTACAACACAGTGAGTTAAATACATTGTAATTCACACTTCCATTGTCATCAGCTAAATTTCAACTTATTTTCTGTTGTAATGTAAAAAAAAATCCTAAATGTATTTTTTTTTTCCTATACAATCAGTAGAGTCAATTTTCATATAATCTGTTTCCACTTTTGCACTGGAAAACTATGGTCCAGGAAGAAAATCCCCTTTCTACTGATGTTGTCTTTGGTATTTGCATCTCTGTATGCCAGCAGGGCCCCTTGGGACACCTCTGGAAGGTCTGGTTGATGTTGTGTATGAATTCTCTTGGTCCATCTGCATCCGTGGTGGCTGTGCCGGTCGGCAAAGCGAGGTCAGATGAGGTCCCCCTTGGAATTCTTTTCAATGAAAATTGCGGTGTGAATTTTGGTTACTGTTCCTATTCCTCTGACTGTAGTATATCTTTATTATAAACACGATGTGGTAGAAGAGGAAGATATTTTTTATAAAGAATGAAGTAACGTTCCTAAGAGCACAAAATATGCATGGGACTAAGGTGGAATAATATAAAAGCAACATGAGAGGATGAGGATTACGGAAGAAAATAAAAATAGCTTCTTTTAAGTGGAACTTGTTAGTGGGTATCTTGTACTCCCTGCATTACACATTTTGAAGTAGAATTAAAGATTTTAGACTGTTGTTTCTTCATTTGCTTTTATAACTTAGTACAGTTAACGGGACATTTTCAACCATTTGATTTTATATTTTTTTAGTTATGGTGGAAGAGAGGCAGAATTTGCCAATTCAGAGAGTACTTTAGGGACAGTCGAAGGAGTTCATGACTAAAGCAGAAGTTTTTCGAAGACGCTGACAAGTGTCTCTTGTACAGAAATGTGACTGTCACGTGGGGAGGAGCCTATTTTGGAGAAATAAAAATTGGATTGCTTGGCCCAGGCTTGCAGGGCTGAACTTCAGACCTCCGGTTAGATAACTAAGAGGGTCCCCCTTCCTCTGTAATCCGAACGCTTTACAATAGCTGTGCTGTGCTGGAAAAATACGCGTGTCAACAAGGAGGGAGAGACTTGAATCCACGAGAGCCCAAAGCTATAGATGGCCACTGGGGACGTGTCAGCCTTGCGCAGAGCGATGCTCAGCAGTGGTACCCAAGTGAGCTCTAGCGAACTGTCTTGCGCGTGGGAAGCAGTATACCTTAGAAGAGCAGTTTTTGGCTAATTAGCCTTCTAGTGAAATAGCATATATTAGCTTAGGTGGAGTGGTATGCTAATGATAGTGATTCTGGTAGTGAGGCTAGCTGCTGCCTTTGGTGGTGGCTCAGGCATCTCCGTGGTGTGCCGTGCTCTCTCCGGTAGGCACAGCCTCCCTGCCACTGCCATTTATGGGTACTTAGCATAATTAGCAAATGCCAATAGACCGCTCCTACCTTGGGGCTTGCTGCTGAAGAACTGGGTGATGGAAATTACTCCCCTGAATGTCTTTTCCTCCTCACCTGCCGCAAGCAGGTTTTGAGGGTTGGTGTTGGCACGCTGGGCCAGTTGCGCAAGGAGCACGAGGGATGCTCTCAAGATCTGGGACACAGCAGCTATTGGGGGGAAAGTGCAGTACTGGTTTAAAAAGGGCATAAAATGGAGTCTTTCAATTCTGAAGAGCTTTTGGCTGCGGGTCAGTTCCCTTCTGCATCTCTGGGGTAAGTGCAGATGGCTGCACCTCCAGCGAGGGGTTGGGTGGTTGAACGAAGGGTGCCACAAACGTCCGTATCCAGTGGGGCTTTCAGAC